TTGATATCCGAATCCTTATGGCCAAATCTGTGAAGTATACAGTAAATTTCCTGGATGCCAAAGAGGCTGACTTGCACAGGTATTAACCTGCAGACACTACATCACTTTGTAACGTTCATTATTAATTTTAATTGTTGCTGAGCAGGGTATACTGACGCAGTCATGTTGACATGTCCTCTCTTATACTTTCACAGGATAGAGATCCCTTTTTCCTTCCACATGCTTCAGTCTGGACTGGTGCACGGTTTAGCATTCTGGTTCGATGTTGCTTTCATTGGATCAATGTGAGTAGTGTGTATGTATATATGTATATATATATATATATATATATATATATATATATATATATATATATATATTCCTAGACTGCGAAGCAAAGGCCTGGGTTTGCCATTGGGCTGTCAGTTCACTATGGGACTTGTGTACGTTGAAAGCGATATGTAAAATGGCTCATGCAGTCCACACTTATACTATGATAGATGCAAAGAATAAGATCGATGTTGAGATTTAATATGTAAACCTCTGCAAGGTACTGCTGATTGTGTGAGGTAAAGCATTGCTCCCTGAAACATTCCTCTGTTTCTCTTTTCAGAATGACTGTCTGGCTTTCCACAGCCCCAACTGAGCCTCTTACTCACTGGTACCAAGTCCGCTGCCTCCTGCAGTCCCCACTCTTCACCAAAGCTGGAGACACCTTGTCTGGGACTGTGCTGCTCATTGCCAATAAAAGGTGCGACACAACCCTCTCCGTCCTCCTGTACTAACAAAGCTAAAGCACACACCTCACTGTACTGATTTACTGCTCATCCATTACTGTGAGATGGTCAAATATTTATATACTGTCTGTATGTTGTGTGCTGACGCTACAATCCTCATTTTCCTCTTTTTAATTATTTATTATAAATTTGAACTTTTTTACTTCCATGCTTTTGTTTCACATGTTCTAGCTATTATCCACTCAATATACTAGTAATGTCATCTGATGCCATATTTCAATGTGGAAAATACACCTGCCCTCCTCTCTCCGATATTGTAAACTACTCCTCTATCAGATACAGCCCTTTAAACTATCTCTCTTTCTCTCTCTCTTGTAGGCAGAGTTACGATATCAGTATTGTTGCTCAGGTGGAACAGACCGGTTCCAAATCAAGTAATCTCCTGGATCTGAAGAACCCTTTCTTTAGGTATGTGTCCCTCCTTTCTTAAACAAGAACCTCACATCCAGTTAGGTGACCTTGCCTCATCTCACCAACCTGTTTGTGTATTTTTCAGGTACACAGGCAGCACGCCGTCCCCACCTCCTGGCTCCCACTACTCTTCTCCTTCTGAGAATATGTGGAACACAGCCGGAGCTTATGGCATGAACACAGGAATGGGCATGGGTGGTAAGTGACAGAATCCGATATCCTGTGTTACAACCTTAGAGATAATTTAGCATTTGTTTATGTAGTTTAATGTGTAATAAGGATAGCAGAACACAGAAAACTCATCACATGTAACTATTTAAGAAACACTCCAGGCACCAAAAAGGTACGTTTGTTTCCATGCCAGTTTAGTGAATGGGAAGCAACTGATTGGCTGGAAGTGTCAGCTTACTGCTTTTGGCCAATCAGCGGTGCCCCTGCCCGATGGCACTTCTGCGCTTTCTGAATCTAAAAAATTCAGAAGCTGGATGCTGTCTGGGTAAGGGCAGGGGAGTGGTCGTCAGAGACAACTTTGGGGTTAAACAATTTGAGAATAGTTTAACCCCTTGAGGTAAGAGTGCCTCCAGGGGCCTCCTGGCACCGTAACAACTTAATTTAGATGAAGTTATTGTGGTGCCTGGAGTGTCCCTTTAAGTATGGGCCTTTATCGGCCAGTGAACTGTGTTGCTGACCCGGTATTGATCTTGTCACTCATTTACAATAGGAAAACATCCCCACCCCATTATGGTTTTCTCAGTGAGTTAGTCTGCCCTTGATCATTAAAGGTCTCCTCTAAATCTATAACTCTACTAGCATGTTCCTCCCAAAATGTGAAAAGGGGTTGTTGGTCACTAAAGTGTGAATTCAGATTGCATGTCAAAATAGCGGAACTGGAAAAATTCTCTAAGTCAGCTATGCCGTCAGTTTGGCTATTCTGGCCTTAAATTAGAAATTCGCTTTGAATTTTCACTGTGAATAAAAAGTACTTTAAGGTGAATGGAGTGTTTGTAGTTCAGTAAATATGCCGAGTTCCTTGGCACAAGCTATGGAGAGAGGCTGGGCAGTCCTACTGCACACGGCTAGGTTTGTCATTTAAACTTTTAAAATAACATTCAACCAGCTGCTGAATGGTAGGACTGGACTTCACCTATAACATTAAGGCATCAGAGTACAGCCAATCTGTTCATTGCTAACTAATTACTTCAAGTACAGCTCCTTGTATAGTTATGGTGTTAGGGGTGACCTGGCTCCCCTCCATAGTAAGGAGTCAGAGTTTTTGAATGGTTTGACTTCTTAACTTGTGTCAGCTGTCGCCACTTCCCACCTCCACTACCTCTTCTGGAGAGCAGGAAGTCCTTTTAGCTATCCTGACATCATAATCACTAGAATACGTTAGTCAGAGGCCCAACAGGGAGCGCACCGTTAGTGAAGCAGCATATATATGCATTTTGTTTGTGGTGTGTTCATACAACATGGAATAGTTGAGTTGTAGAACATTTGTAAAGTGTTCCAGTGAAATCTGCTCAGGAAAATATGCAGGGATGTATTCACTAAACTCAAAACGTTATCTTAAATTCTCAATGGCAAAACTGTGACTTTGCTGAATTTTTTTCATATCCGCTGTTTTAGCTTAGATTTTGCCATTCATCCTTTAACCACCTACATTTTTATGTCCGTAGACAATAAGTCTTTCCAATGTTAAGTTGACATTCAGGTATTTAAACTTTTAGACCGTTCAAAATGTTAAAATAATATTTTCCATAATGACCAAACTAGCTGTTCATATTGGTTCTAGCCTGGTTAGAAAACTGTGATGCCTCTATTGTGCTATTTGTTCTTTAAATGGTACACTTTTTTTTTTTTGTCTCCCCATGTTGCAGGAATGCCCACTGCGTATGATCTCAGCAGTGTTATAGCTGGCAGCTCAGGCATCAGCCACAGTAACCTCATCCCTCTAGGTGAGCAGAATGCAGCCTCTTGCCGTCCTGCGTCCCTGCACCCGGAGCCCCAAGACCTGACTCTCGGACCCTCCAGTAATAGCATAATCTCCGTTATCTCATCACATTCAGTAAATAAAATAAACTGCAGCTTTACCTCTAAATCTCACTCTTAAAAGGACACTTTAAGCACCAAAACTCTTGCTGTAGTTGATTTTCGTATATAAATCATGCCTTTTCAATCTCTCTGCTCAATTCTCTCTCTGACATTTAGGAGGTAAATCACTTTTGTTTATGCAGCCCTAGGCACACCTCCATTGGCTGTGACTCATACAGCCTCCCTACACACTTTCTGAAAGAGTAACTTCCCTAATTACATAGTGTTTCATTTAGAATTTATTTTCTGCTGTAATAGCCTGCAACTGTGTGTGATTAAAATACATACCGTGCTGTAGGATCTAACAGAATATGAAGCATTTGTTTACGGAGGCTGTGCAAGTCACAGCCAGGGGAGGTGTGAGTAGGGCTGCATAAACAAAATCAAGTGATTTTTTTAACTCTTAAATGACAGCGAATTAAGTGCCAGGAGCATGAACAATGGCCCAAAACTGCTTCTTAAGCTAAAGTTGGTTTGGTTCTTAGAGTATTCCTTTAGGCTTCAAAACAAAAAAATGGTTGTACCCACTAAATTATGCTTGGGTTTTTTTTTTTGTTAATAATTAAAATAAAAAAAAAGAACATCTTTATTTGCGATTGGACCCATCCCTGAAAAACTTTACATTAAAGAAATCAAGGATGACAAAAATGTGCCAACGCATTACACTCCACCTGCAAAGTGTACAGTTTGTGAGAGGGCTGTAAAACCCATACACAGCAGGGTTCCAATCAGGGAAAGTTCAGGTACCTGCTAGTACACAAGGCTGCTGCTGACAATAAGGCTTTCTTACCAACGTTTAGCTTAGCGTAAATCGTGAATCTTTGACTTTGTGGATCATAGCTAATTGTCACTTGATTGATCTAAAGTTTTTTGTTTTTTGCTGATGGGATCTGCTTTACAGAGTCCAGAAATGTAATAGAGCTGCTTAGCACAGGGGGCACTATAGTGACCAGAACCTCTACAGCTTAATGCAGTGGTTCTGGTGTCTACATCCTGTCTCTGCAGCCATAGCACTGTAAACCGTCTTTTCAGAGAAAAGGCAGTGTTTATATTGCTGGCTAGCTGTACCTCTCGTGGCTGTCACTCAGACGGCTACTAGATATGCTTCCTAGTCCAGTGCTGCAGCACTGGCGTTCATCGTTCCACATAGAGATGCAGTGATTCTGATAAGCACATCAGTGTATTGCCGTGCATGTGCAATAGCCTCCCATTGGATTGGCTGAGATGGTAAAGATTGATCTCAGCCCTGGAGGCGGGGCCAGCTGCGGTGAGACTAGTACAGCGTGGGAGAAAAGTTGGGTAAACTCACCTTTTCACTGCATGTGAAGGGAGCTGGGGACCTAAACAGTCACACCAGCACTACAGTGTCAGGAATACATGTTTGTACTACTGACCCTAGTGTTCCTTTAAGCAAGTATAATCAGTTGCCACATTAAGGGACTCATTACATTTATATCTAATATTTGTTTCATTGTACACTTTATCCTGTAGTTTGAAAGCCACTCAGGATAACCTGCTTTAACACTGTCCCTGTTCCCTTCTCCTTCTTACTTACAGCTAACACAGGAATTGTTAATCACACCCACTCAAGAATGGGATCTATCATGAGCACAGGAATTGTCCAAGGTAGGTCCTTCATAAATTGGCTCAAGGATATAGAGTAAAGTTGTTGTGAAGACTTTAGAGAGCAGAAATCCAATCTCCTGGTTTTTGTCTCGTTTTAGGTTCCGCTGGTGGTCAAACCGGCTCAAGCAACTCCACCCATTACCAGGTCAACCAGTTCACCATGGGTGGACCAGCCATTTCTATGGCCTCTCCGATGTCCCTCACCACCAACACAATGCATTATGGGAGTTAAAGGTCGCCATTTCTCCCCTTCCCGCCTCTCTGCTTCTACCTCCCTCCTCTCTTCAAACTGACAGTAAGAGGATACCAAATGATGCGGCGATGTTTCATTGCACTCCATTGGATTCGCTGCAGTATCTTTATCAAGACATCTGCACCGCTTGTCACAAGTCTTTGTTGTTCCTTCTCAGGTGCAGAGATTTCATTTGGCTTCTCTCTCTCCCCAACACCATCCCCTTTCTTTTTTACCCGTTCTGCTATTTCCCTCCCCCATTTCGTTAACCTGCTCCCATTTGTATCATACGACAAAGCTTAAATGCTTTGCTTTCTGAAAATGAACTTGTACATTTTTTTTCTTTTTTTAAAGAAATTACTTAAAACCTCACTGTGTCAAAAAATGGAACAAAATGGGGGGAAAAGTGAGGATGAAAGAAACCTCCAATCAGGGCCGTCTGTTTGTTTTGCAAAAAAAAATGCAAAAATTGCGCATTGCTTTTAAAAAAGCTTCCTTTAGCACATTTGAATTTACATTCGGTTTAGCCCTAGGGGCATTGCTGTGAATTAGTATTATGGTTAGATAGTCCCTTCAAGAGGCAGGTGCAGCCCAGGAGAAGGTAGTATGGTCTAAAAGCAGTAGGTAATGGTGTACTGCCGACCTAAAGGTACAGATTGTTTTCTATTTTGTCTTCCCTAAGGAGGTAGAACGTAAAGGCCTAATGATCTTCTCACTGAAGAATATTTGTAGCCTTTACATTCACCTGTATTTTTGTTGTTTGCTCTTTGATGGTCAGCCCGTGGCAGATAAAAGTTAAAATCTACTGTGGCCTTTAAGAGAATAGATAATCCTGTCCCTATATATACGTTTAAAGCAGATCGCACTAAAAACACTAATTTGTTAATGTTGCTTCTCTGAGTACAGAGCTAACTGTATCGTGCTGGCTGGGTTTACATTGACTGTTGCCTAAACAGTGTATACAGCAATACTACAACCCCTTTCCCATCATTTGTAACACACCTTTCCATTCTCTAAAATTCACAGTTTAGGGAATATCCCTTTTTAGCTTTGCCTATTCATAACATCACTGCCGTGATGATGTACCACAATAAACGACGGTCTATCCCTGTTGTAGAGAGCTTGGACTGCACTTCCAGTTTTATTCTGTAAATGCTGTTAAAGTCCTAGTCTCTTTAACTTAATGTTAAGGCATTCTTCTTTGCTGATTTCATTTATTTCTGTGTATGCAGGTGTAATCTATGTATGAACAAAATAAGGTTCATGACAGTAGCCATCTTGGTTTTCATTTGTAAGGATGCCAGGGAAGAGGGTTTATTTTAGAAGCTTTGTAAAAACAAAACTAGTATGCAGTAGTGTTTTTCTTCTTGGAGAGACAATGTTATCACAACACCGTATAATCCATTTTTTATTGTTAATTTGCAATAATACCACCTAAGTATTTCAAGCAATAGACACAAACTGGCTGCTTTCACTGACTTTCTTATGTTGGTAGTATAATTACAAGTGCATACCTAGGCGAGGAGATGCCTCTTTTTTTATAAATGATCCCTAAATAATATTTTGGCATGATTTCCCTTTGAGCAAAATAGCAATAATAAGCATTGGTATTTTAAACATTGAGACAATTTTTAAAGAATATGAAAATATAGGCATTTATTCATTAAACTGTGCATTGCCAATCATTGGAGCCGTTTTTGACTGGCGATGGCCTACCAAGTACAATTCAGTTGTCAAATTGTTTAGTGAATAGTTCCTCCAGATTCTTAATAAAGAGAAGTCACAGGGGCCGAGGAGAGATACAGCAGTAAAATGTACTAAAGGCTTTAACAGTATACATGTCAGAGCAGAATAAGAAGTGAGCTAGATGCATATCCCGTTAGTAAGCTTTCTAAAAAGGGCTGCACATTGAGCGAGAACAGGAGGATTATGGGGGCTGGGGTAGTTTAAATGTACAGATCTTTCATGCCCTTTTGTCTAGTTATGGACTCTTCTCTTTCTCTCTGTGCATAACACAGATTCCGTTACCTGCCTCAACTTCCCCACCCCTTCCTCCTACCCCTGTCTTTTCCACTGACGAAGTGGTTAGCGCATGTTTTGTTTTTGGTTTTTATGAACGTGTCAGAATTGCCCTGAACGTCCGTCCCAATAGTTTATTTTTCTTTGTTTACCCATCCGCTATTCCTATAGTATTTAGGGTTGTGTGTTTGTAAACTTTCCTCTAAACCTTTTGGTTCCAAAGGGAGTGACCAAATGAACTGCACTCACCCCTGGCACCAAAAAGTATGAGTTCCCCACCCATTTTAGTGATTCCTCCTTCCCCATTTATTAAAATGCTTGTCACAGGATCCCAATCGCACCCTGTCTGTTTGTTGTTTTTTTTGTTTTGTTTGTTTGTCTGCCTCTGATCGGATGGCAGACTGTAGTTTATCAGATGGATTTTCACAGGTAACGTTGAAGGACCCAGTAGGAAACCATTGCAAACACAGCTGCTGTTCTCAGTTCTGTCTGTAGTGTTCAATAAAGTTGGGAGGGATTACTTTTTTTTTTATTTTAAAATATAAAGTCTGTGTTTTTATTTGGAACGGTGGGGGGGAGGAGGGAGGGGAAAATAATCCTGATTTGTGGGTTAAAAGTGTGCTACTAAAGCCATAGACACAGTGACAGTTTATGAAACAATTTAATCGGCCATCTGCTCTTTTGATTGCTCAATCTGAAACCGCATATTTAATGATCTGGTTGATATCTAATGTATAAATGAGGAGAAACAAACCTGATATTGTGATAGTACAGTGGTTCTTAACCTCTTGAGCTGCGGGCACAAAATGCTATTCAACAGCTGGAACCTTCTCATCATTTGAATTTGACCTTTAGTAATTGCCCAAAATACAATGTTTACCATAGCTGTACTGTCTGCTTAAGTTTTAAGGCAGACTGGCACTGGACAGTACAATGCAGGTGTTTTGCAGAGTTATTGTCGTCACATAATGTTTAATCTGAAAAGCTAGGTCATTCAGCCGTACAATGTATGGAGTGGCTTGTTTCCCAAGGTTAAGAAAGCTAGAATGCATGTAAACTGTTAAAGGGCTACTGAAAGCATAACTATATTACAGCCTGCTTTGGAGGTTATGGTGTCAGGAGTACCCAGTGCCGTTCCCCAGTAAAAGGTTGGGGAATGTTTTGCAACGAGCCTACTCTGTCTGCTGAGACATCACCCAGCTTCAGAGAACGACTGTGCTACGAATATGCACATAATTAAGTCAGCTTGAAACTCTCGTTCCAGTCTGACAGACGTGGCGTTACACTACAGGTGGTTCTATACTGAAATGTTGCATATTCAGGGTACTTGCACCACAACCACTTTAAATCACTGGACTGCTACTAAAGATTTTTAAATTAAAAAAAAAAAAAAAAAAATTTGCAAATGTATATAGGAGTCTCCTAGTAATGTGTGTAATTTTCCATGTGATATTTTGTTCTACTTTGGCAGATGTTTTCATATAGTTCATGTATTTTATTTCTCTTTAATATTGGAGCTAAGTGATTTATATTTAATTACAATGGAATAGGTCCTAGAACTGAAGGTTGAATCTTTAAAGGGACACTATTGTCACCAGAACAACTAAAGCATACATTGGCTGTTCTGGTGAGTATAGTCAGTGCCTGCAACCTAGGCAAATATTACAGGCTAGGAACACCTCTAGAAGCTTATTCCAGCCACCCATTGTGATACACTGATTTAATGCAGCTCTAGGAGGAAATGCTAATTGGCCACAGCAGTACTGAGCTCTGTCCCAGCCTACCTTCCTGGCTGAGATAATCAGAATTGATCTCTGTCAATTCAATGCTATTGTGACTGGCTAAGATTGTCAATTCTGATGTCGGCCAAGGTGGCGGAGCCAGCGCTGGCAGACCACACGCGTCTCTAGAAATAAGATGAGTTATTGTATTCAGGGGGGCAGATGAGTGTGTCTAAAAAGTTTAATAATATAGGGTTAGTAATACATATTTAGGTACATGACCATATAGTGCTCATTTAACCGTTGTTCTGGAATCATTGACAGTCATTAAAGGCACACTCTACTGTCAAATAGACAAATCACAGTTTGAGATATATCCTAAAATAAAAACGTGCATATTTAATTATGCATTATTTTTTTCCCCCCCCCAATTGGGTTATATAAACAGCTTGCAAAGTTGCATTTTGTTGTCTGTTTGCAAGCCTGCCCAGACTTTGTGACTGTCCAATCACAAACTTGCCAATGCAACTTAATGAGAAGTCTTTGCAAGGCAGGTGCTCTGAGCAATTGCTGCAGCTAGAGTTAAGCTCCACTGAGCTAACAAAACCAGGAAATAAGTCAGGTTGTCTGCTTGAACGCAAAGTGGCTGTAACCATGTTAATTTATATTCAAATTAGCGCTTGTTTCAAATGACACACAAAGCTTTTTAGCAAGCTAAAGTGCTATAGGGGTCTGGAGTGTTCCTTTAAAGGCCTTGTATGTTACTGTGTGTGTTAATAAAATACAATCCCCACAGCCCCTCTACAACCAAAGTTTTGCTTAGCAGTAAGCAAGATAGCAGCATAAAATGATTCAATCTTTTTAAACATTGAATTCTTCTTTGAAGAAGGGAAAACCCTCAAAATATCTTTATTAATCAAAACATTTTCTCTTATATAATTAACAAATATCTCAAAGTTTCACAAATCTAAAGGGTACCTTACCCATAAGAATATAGTTAATTTGTTCCTACCTATGTCAAATATATATGTGATTAGTAGCTTGCATTACCAGGACAAGTCACTTGGGGCAGTAGAAAGCCTTAGAACAGGCTATCAAGCTTGTGCGATCTGGAATGGAGTCCAATACAGGAGCTACGACTTGTGGGTGGTGATGTGAGCTGGTTTTTGTGTAGCAACTGCAACCGCTGCCTTCTGTTCTTCAAACTTTTGGAAAAAATACATCTGTGGACAGAAATAAAGAGTTATCTCTGTTCCTTTGTGATTGTTTGATAGCCATCCGAAAGAGAAGACCATTTCTTACAAGGCAACATGGCTATTTTCAATCTCTTATCAGCTCAATAAACCTTGTAGAATATGCTGTATTGACTTACATGGTTGGCAAGGAATAGTATCGCATAAGCCAACCAAATGTAGACTACTCTGACCCAGGAATTGAAGTGGTCACTCACAGAACAAATTCACAAAGCTGTAAGCCACTCTCTCATATACACCTACATGACAACAAAGGACTGGCAGAGACATCACTTACATGATAAGGACTAGGAGAATGTCCTGAATGTAGAGGGCCATTTACTGTAACATAGCTATGGGACATTAGATTTGTGGTTCCCTACTTTAATTTTTTTGGTTATGAACAAGGCACTTTTCAATCCACATTTCGCTTATAAACATAATTTTAGTGCAGCTCTATCGGACGTATACTTCTAGTAAACTATATACTAGTTTTAATGGTTTGCCTAGTGTACATCTTAAATCAAAATGTGAATGCATTTTAAAAGAAACTAGTAGTTACTATATTTTTCATTCCTATATTCCAAAGAAAAATGACATGTAATGGTGTGCATTATTTGGTAATGAATAAGTTTAACTCTAGTGCATCTCCAGTCTTAGCCTTTGCTTTGTGGGGCAGCCATATTAAATTCTCTTTGCTCAGACACTCAATTTGTCTCCCAATGCTTTGCACAATTTGAAGGTCTGACACCAGCCTGGAATAGATTTTTGAGATGACCATGATGTGTGGGGATTTGTATACACTCACTAGATCTTTACCAGCACAGCTTTTGCTCGGATAAGCTGTGCTTCTAACCAAATGAATGTAAAGATGGCTGATTCCATATTGCAAGGGTAAACCGGGAGATGTTCTGGGGATAAAGGGTATTTTCTTATGTATACATTACAAATCAATACAGATTGAGGCTACAATACATGTAATCTCTTTGAAAAAAACAAGAGACTTAAAAAGATAAGCTACTTCAATGACTTCTGGGTTGTTACAGCACACTAGTGTTCTCCAGGATATAGGTTGAAAACCACTGTCTTAGGGTGTGGAAATTCAGGTTACTGTCTCTATAAAAAGATGTTTCCATATTTATCAATTACACTCGGTCTTTGAATGGTTTTCGTGTTATACCAGAAATCTATTAGGGGGGAGGGAGTGCGGAATAACTTAAAAGTGGCAATGAGTTCATGCTTGTTTGGTAAGGTGCATGTAGATATTTACATAGAAGATTGGAAACAAATTACTTTGTAGCATAGGAATGGGTGGAGCAAAACAAAAATGACTAAGGATCATTAGTGAAACATGTTTTGTACAGTGTGATATTGTGAGAAAGCAGCCACACAGAATGGGCACTTGGGAATATGGCACTGCAGTTGTGAATACCAGTCATCGTTGGAAATGTAATAGTCAGATTAAAATAAAGTTTTTTGTCCTTTTATAGAAAAAAGAAAACACACATTTCCATCACATAACTTTTCATGGAATGAATACAGGCAGTTGGTACCTTGAAGCCTACAGCCATTAGGACATGCAGAGCAATCATGCCAATCACCATGCCAAGGGAAGCCATTTTGTTGTCGTTGCGGATATGAGGCCAGAAAGCAAGAACGAGGACAAAACCAGAGATACTCATAGCCACAATGATCAGGATCCATCGGAATAATTCAAAAGGAATCACACACAAAATCTGCAATTAGAGTTATAGAAAGGATGTTATTTTATGTACTGTTACTTATACCCTGAATACAGTTACTCATCGCTATACCGAACTCTTCAAAATGTCATGGGCTGTGGCTCCTAGAACCATATATTTTAGCCCCAACCTTTACCAAAAGTATGTGTCCCAGCTATAGGTATTGAGAGCAATGACAGGAAATGTATTTTCAACCAGATTGCGATGTTGCAACATCAGAAACAATGGTACAATCACCTGTCTACTGATTTTTAACATTAATGCTATAAATCCCAGAGTTCTATTTCTTTGCTGACGGAAGCCCTCACAGTAATGGCCAGGTGAATTGGTTTTCTGACATCCCACAGGAGCCTGCATTAAACAGAATCCATAGTGAAGGGCCCAGGTGGCTTAGTATTGATATGCACACCTGGCACGTTGGCGCTTCAGGCGTGTTCCATGTAAGCACTTTTTGGGTGAGCAGTCCAGTACAAAACTAATTTCCCCTTAGGATGTGTTTTTTTTTGCGTTTTTATTTTGAATATAACCAAAATAATCCCTTGGATTAAGTCTCCTATCCATGTTGCATCCTTGGCAAAGACATGTATTGGCATTACTATAGTTTGTCAGGTTAACTTTATAACCAGACAGATCTCCCGAATGATGATCAAATGACGCATAGAGATGATTGGGCTGGTTAGAATAATTAGAAAGTTATTTGCATATGCCAAATGACTTTCTAATTACTCTACATTGGCCCCAGAAATTCCTGGCTGCTTACAGATTGAGTGCAACAACAGAACAAGTGTTAATGTAAATAAATAAAGGTGAAAAGGGTCGTCCCTGCCTAGTTCCATTCACTATTTTGAATGATGTAGTTTTAGATCCCATTATCGTCAGTGCTCTCAAGTTTGCGTATAAGACTTAGACCGCTGTAACACATGGCAAGAGTAAAGCCAGGTTGAGTTAGAAGCTCAAATTTAAAAGGCTGCTCACTTCCGCATCTGAAGAAAGGACCAGACAAGGTGTCAGAGTCAACAAGGTGGCATACTAGGTCAATATTTCTTCGAGTATTCTCAGAGTTGTCTCCCTGGGCTAAAGCAATCTTGATCAAGGTGAACTAATAAAGTAAGTATTGGATTGAGCCTTTTTGCCAGTACTTTTAAGCTGAAATTAATTCGAGAAGTTGGTGTCCAGTTAGCTAATTGGGTGTTGTCAAGTCCTGGTTTGGGAATGGAATTCTGCATTTTTATTTAGTTTTGGACTCATTTTTCTTTCTTTGACAGTGGTGCGTTTGCAGATGCCTGAAAAGTGTGGAGTTAGGCTTCTGATGGAATAGACGTAAAGGACATCCTTATATGATATTACCCTCCACAAGAACACCCTGTGTGTCTACACCTTTAGACCTCATCAAGTGAGAATACAGGAGCCTCAGAAATTGCAAAGTGCATCCTTCCCTTGAGGGTACATTAGTTTTATAATCTTTGTTAAAAGGAAAAAACAAAATTGCAGTTTGTGAACAAACGGTATTATTCATCAGCCAGGAATTGCCTGTGAAAATTAGACATTTGGCATATTACTTTGTCTGTGGACACACACAAAGTATTGAGTTTACACGTCCTTTTCGCTCCAATGATTGTAACATTTTGTGATGGTAGGTGCCAATGGACACCTTAAAACGGGTTAGATAAGCTGGCTTAGCTACATGCCTCATCTCCTGAGCATGATATTGTAATAATTACTGCAATAAACATCTGCAGGGCCAGAAAGTATGAATTAATGTAAGATTATATAGTGCACTCACCGTAGTTGGAATATAGACAGTAAGGGAGTATCCATAGACACACACTGTCTCCAAGAAGCTGTAAGACCCCACACCTTGCATCACGCCTTTCCTCCATTGCAGGAAGCCCCATAAGGCAAGTGGAACAAGCCAGGCATAACTGTATATAATTACACCAGCCACAGACACTGAAACAGAGGAGGCAGAGGATCACTAGAATATAGCATACAGTTCAGCTCTGGGACAGGAAGTCTCCTAACAAAACATGGAATAGCAGAAAGAAAGGTGCTGGCACTCAAAGGGCACATCCAATGCAGACTTTATTGGACACGAAAGCCAACATTTCGACTCAACTGGGTCTTTATCAAGCTAAATTGAACCAACACATTTACAATGTCATATCTCTCTCTCTCTCTCAGATATATATATATCTATCAAAGGATTAGTGAGCATTACTTACAGCTATGTACGGCGGAAGTGATGTCGTACATCTTTTGCACCATATTATACATAAATAAAAGATACTGTGAATGTGTTGGTTCTTTACAGCTTGATAAAGACTCTGTTAAGTCAAAACATTTGTGTCCAATAAAGTCTGTACTGGATGTATATTTGAGTGTCCAGACCATTTTTTGGGGTTTACTCTGGAATTGAGGTTATGCCACCTTTGACTGTGAGGCACCTTGGAAGGATTCTAGTATGTGGATAACCGCAAGATAATGCATCTTGGACGTAAAAACCCAAGGGCAGAGTACAGAATATTTGATAATAGTCCTAACCTCAACATATGAGGAAAGGGATTTCGGGGTAATTATTTCTGATGACTTAAAGGACCACTCTAGGCACCCAGACCACTTCAGCTTAATGAAGTGGTCTGGGTGCCAGGTCCAACTAGGGTTAACCCATTTTTTTTATAAACATATCAGTTTCAGAGAAACTGCTATGTTTATGAATGGGTTAATCCAGCCCTCAAATCCTCTAGTGGCTGTCTCATTGACAGCCGCTAGAGGCGCTTGCGTGATTCTCACTATGAAAATCACAGTGAGAACACGCAAGCGTCCATAGAAAAGCATTATGAATGCTTTCCTATGAGACCGGCTGAATGCGCACGCAGCTCTTGCCACGCGTGCGCATTCAGCCGAAAGGGAGGAGAGGAGGAGGATCGGAGGCGGAGAGCTCCCCGCCCGGCGCTGGAGAAAGGTACGTTTTAACCCCTTTCCTCACCCTACAGCCCGGCAGGTGGGGGCACACTCAGGGCACTATAGTGCCAGGAAAACGAGTGTTTTCCTGGCACTATAGTGGTCCTTTAAAGGTAGGGAGACAAATAGAGCAGCATGAAATGCTAGCAGAATGCTTGGTTGTATAGGGAGAGGTATTAGCAGTAGAAAGAGGGAAGTGCTCATGCCATTGTACAGAACACTGGTGAGACCTCACTTGGAGTATTGTACACAGTACTGGAGACCGTATCTTCAGAAGGATATTGATACCTTAGAGAGAGTTCAGAGAAGGGCTACTAAACTGGTTCATGGATTGCAGGATCTTAACATGTATAGCTTGGAGGAAAGACGAGACAGGGGGGATATGATAGAAACATTTAAATACATAAAGGGAATCAACACAGTAAAGGAGGAGACTATATTGAAAAGGAGAAAAACTACCACAACAAGAGGATAGTCTTAAATTAGAGGGGCAAAAAGGTTTAAAAATAATATCAGGAAGTATTACTTTACTGAGAGGTTAGTGGATGCATGGAAGAGCCTTCCAGCTAAAGTGGTAGAGGTTAACACAGTAAAGGAGTTTAAGCATGCGTGGGATAGGCATAAGGCTGTCCTAACTATAAGATAAGGCCAGGGACTTGGGGTTTGTACCTCTCTACCAATACAGGGTAACACAGGCGGTAGGAAGCAATGGGACATGGAGGCTGTCTTTCCACCAACAGGGTGACACAGAAGGGACATTAATTATATTACTGCAATTAAAGAGAGAGAAACGATAGAGCTCTGAATACAGCCGGTTCTGCTATCCTGCCTACATGGCTTCTATAATGCTACATGGACTGTGTTTAGCACTGTTGGACCTGGCTATTATCACCTTTTTTCCTCTATACCTATCATTTGTTTTATCTGTGTCTCTTTTCAATCAGGGAGCCTATAGCCAGCAGCGGTCAGTGGGATTTCAGACTAAGCATAGGTGCTATCGAAGGCACGTTTAGGGGCTGATTCTCAGGGGCTCTTTTTCCTACTTGCCTCTTCCTTATGCTATCACTCTCCAGGATTTCTACACTGTTCTGTAGGTTTTGTTTTTGACATAAATTGCTACAAGTGTTTATCTATGTAAATGTTACTTGAATGGCTTTTTCTTCTTAACACTGAATATTCATATGACAGGATTGGTTTTTCTAATAATTGATTAGGGTGTTACCCACCACCATGTTTTTACCATTTTCTTTTTATATAAATTAAAATAAATATTAAGTTTTTACTCTCTCTTTTTCTTCAGATTGCCTTTTCTCTTCATTCAGTTGTGCATATAAGACAGAAACATTAGCTTTTGGATACCTAAATGAGACAATGAGACTGCATATTCAGCATCGTTACACAGAGCCGTAAAAAACAACCTTTGTGAAACTGAGGGTTATAGTTGTAACCAGCACGGTTGTGCATCTGAATGAATGTTGAAAGGTTTCCCATGATGGATAGTGTGATGACTAGCGTGGCACAGATCCAGAACGGTCCGTACAAGTCAGGATTGTTCCTCAAATGATGCCGTACAAAGTTTTTCCCAGGAAGGGGGATAACAGAGGCCTTAATCCTATCCAATACCTGAAACGAAAAAGGAGGATTTAATTTACATCTGCCCATGTTAGCTGATGCACCCTACCCCATGTAGTGCTTGCTCTTTACCTGGTATGTGTCTACGTCGAAAAAGTCCTGGTAGTACTGAAAGGTCCAGAAACTTGATGGCTTCTTCTGGGCAGCGAGAAGCTGGAAAGAAAGGGGAAATACTTATAACATTTTAACTGTTTACTAGACACGTATCCAGAAATGCACTGCTTAGCTGCTAACAAAAAAACAAAAAGCTAAGCCAGGTATGAACAAAATGTGATGTGATGGCTGGCCAAAGCTGA